CGTTTGATCCCCCAGATCAAGATTGCTCAGACTGTGGCGCACATAGAAAAGAAAGCAACTAGTTGGTGCTTCCTGATCTCAATCTATTCTTGCATTTTATTAACCCTGGGTGAGTTTAGAACATCTTGTGGTTGCAAAAGACAGCAGGTAGGGTTTACCTTGGAGGGTTTCAGCCATCTGCCTTGCTCACCTTTCTTACCCTCTGCAGCGCTGGCAGGGTTTTGGAGCCAGTCGTGCTGGCAGTGTGTCTGAGAAGCACAGGCAATATCTGCTCCATTTTGTGCCTCTCCAGGGAAGAAAAAGGACTGGAATTTGGGTACCAGCTCTTTGAGCCAAATACCATGAGGAAAATGTCAATCTTATAGGATCAAACACAGACATGCTCTGGTTCAATTTGTTGAGTGAAACAAAGTGAATCTGGTTGTCTTTATCTTCAAAAGAATTTTTTATAGTTAGAAGTGCTGTTTCATTTGGATCAACTTTAGTCTTACTTTCTGGAAAAAAGGTTCCCGAAATAATTCAGACAGCTCCATTCAAGCTGTTCTGCAGATGTCAGCATATGCCATAGTCCAAAATCCAACATAGTCCATGGTTTTGTAGTGGAGACTCCAGCAAGAGATGCTGGACAGGAAAGGTATGTGCTATTTGAGACTATAACACCAAATTTCCTTTCTGTTAGCATATTTATATGTCCCACGTGCCATCTCTGTCTCTTCTTCCTGCTGTGGAATAACTTGCTGTGTTTATATTTATAATGCTGCACATCCAGATGCCTCTCTTATCTCCTTGCTGAGAAGAGCAAAGATGGTACATTTGAACTACAGGATGTCACCATTATCCTAGCCATGTGTTTGACTAATTGGCTAAATATAAACAGACCTTCCCGTGAAGCTCAAGCAGTGCTCCTCTCTGTTCAGTCAGACAAAACAGAAAGAGTGGGAAGCACCAAATCCATCTTAATGGAAAATGGGTAGAGGGCCCTGAGGACTAAGAAAGACTCGGAGATGAGCCAGGTATTCCCCAGTGAATTTCCAATTCTGAACTCAGTCCAGAGCCATTCTACTGACCACAGTAGGTTATTCCTGGTTCAGCTCATAGCTCCTGAAATACAGTCTGTCCCCACAGAAACACCTCCATACAGATGCAATAAAGCAGTCACCAGAATCGCTGGAGCTCACAGTGCAGCATCCTTTAGAGCTGCAGAAGCTTTAGAGGCAGGAACATAGGTGACTCAGAGTTCACCCTCCAAACAGAGCCTGTTACAGAGTAAGAAAACTAAAGGAATTCTCTAGCACTGAAATTCCTCAAAGGCTTTTTCTGAATTTGATCTCTCACTCTCTAACCTCCCAGTAAAAAGAAAATCTCTATGATATTACAGAAATTTTCACAAGGAGCTCTGCGGGGGATAAGATTTCTCATGCCTGTCCTCCAGCTAGAGTGACAGCTCATGGATTTATTTCAGCACAGACAGAAACAACATCTAAGTGGTTTTATTCACTTTTTTTAAAGCTCTTGATAAAAATGCAAATCCCATTCTTGCTCCTACTGCCTCTCTCACCCTCTTGAAATAGGCTGTTTATGGTGACTAAATGCTTCTATCCAAAACTGGCTTTCATCCAAAACCAGATGGGCAGAAAGCCTAAAAGCAACAGAAAACTAGCAATTTATATTAGGCCACAGTGCTGCACCACACAGGATGCTTTGTTTAAACTAGCAGAGCTCTGTGTGCTATTCAATAGATGTAAATAACCAGCTAGTGTGGATTTCTGCAACAATGTTGGCATATTTCAAAATACTTAAACAGACTTCAGACATGCACCTCCCAAATACCTGCTCACCCTATTACAGAGCTAATTGTTCCCACTTTACTTTCAACTGGAGTGGATTTAGTACCACTTAAAATCTATTTTAGAGAGAAGGAAGGACAGCCTGTGACCTGATAGGTATTTTCTGTCTGCAGCATGATGAAAAATATGCCTCTGGTGTTCAGCCTTACTTCCTCTGGCTGCTGCTTTGTGGCTGAAAACTAAACAGGTGCAGCAGTGGCCATGAACACACACTGTGATTCAGGAAATACCATCTCATGGTAATTTTGCACTAACCAGTACCTGCTGGTCCCTGGAGCTGAGCTGGCTCCTTCACTTGGAGCACCCTGGCTGCCTCTGCAGCAGGGTATGACTGGTTCCTGGGATCATTTTGGTTGCTTGCACTTCACCCTCCTGCAGCTGATGGGCACTCAGTTGGGTGTTCCCAGAAGCAAAAAGGTTCATGTGAGTGACAGAGCTCGTTCACCAGGGTCGGTGTCTGACGTAAACTGCTCACATCGATGCTCTGAGGTGTGTGAGCAGTGTCCTGCAGCAGAGGAGAGTTGTCAATGGTGTGGTTGGGACCCTGCCTGCACTGGTGACATAGGGCACAGCTCCATTCTAGCTCAGCTTTGACCTGTGGTAGAACATCCTCATGAAACACTTACATGCCGAATGCACGGTGATGCTTTCTAACCCAGGAACATGTGAAGGCAGAGGACGGGAGATGTTTTGCTGATGGCAGGTACTGTGGAGGCAGGCTGGGGCTGCTGCTGGCTTCTTTCAGGGCATACGGCTCCAGACTGCCTGGGGCCCTCTTGCTTCCTCATTACATTTTGCTACTTGCTTCTTCCATTTCCTTTCTTCCCGATTTTAAGGCTGTTGCTTGCTGTGCAATTCATTAGATCTGTCCCTGTGTCAGATCTTTCAGTTATGCCTTGTGCTCTGCAAAGGCATGTTGCATTGTTATTTTTATGTGTCTCACCAATCTTGTTGTGCCATATACAGATTAGGGTGCTGTCTGGGTTTTAAATATATCCAGTCAGTGGCTTTAATGGTGGTTTTAATCACAGGAATAATAAAAGTGAACGTTACATGTTAAAATATGAAGCCATTTACCTGTGAAGTTCAATCTTAAGGGCATTCTCTATTTTCTTTCTCTTTCCAAAACAAATGCAATATGTGTGAAAAACTCGCAGCCTATCTGTATTCCTATTTGTGTGCTCCAACATAGAGAGAAGCATGATGCACTTCTCTGAGACTGGAAAATTACTCCCTAAAAACAAATTAAGTAACTAATGGCTTGAGCGATCACTTCATAGGTGAAAGGATTTCTGTCATCGGGAATCAGATGTATTTGCATTATTCCTCAGTGGCTTACAAATTGTGTATGTATTAGTATATTGTAAGTTTTCTAGAGAGATTACTTTGCTGTGGGCTAATTTGGTAAGTAAATGTTCTTTGTGGTGTGGTGGTCTGTAAGACACAGAACAGGCCTGAGAAACACTTGGAAGGCCTTGGGCAAAAGGAGGGAGCTCCTTTTCTGTTCTTTGCAGGTGGCACCTAAAAATGATCTATGGGCCCCTACCTGAGCTAACTGCTTGTACCTACTACCTGCACCTACCTGTAAAACAGAAACTGCTTAATTCCACCTGCCAAAGATGGGCTCTTTCCCAGAAAATGTGTTATTTTAGCGCTGGCTCAAGTGGTGAGTTGGAGCATACAGAAACCCCTGATCCACAGTTTCATTCAGAGGATGCTGGAGGAGCAGATAATATAAATTCATACCGCTTCCAGGAAGCTGAGGGAGGTTGGCTCCCTCTCTCACACATCAAAGGTATGCTTCTAAAGCCAGGGGGGTGAATGTCTCCCCTGCTGAGGAAGAGCTTGATCACATCAGGTGCCAAGCAGCTCCTACAGGGGACGATTACTTCCAGTTCTCATTATTTTAAATTGCTATTTTTAATGAGTCAGAGCAAACAGGCTCACAGGGCTGGATGGTACCTGAAGGTCATGGGGCACACCTGCATCCTCTGGGATAGTGTTTACAGGTGTTGCCCAAATTGAAGCATCTGTTTGTGTCACAGATGTTTAGTTATTTCAGAAGGTCTGTTAGGTTGGCTGCCACTCAGGCCCCAGTGAGGAGGGCAGAATCACAGGCATGGAGCAGGCAGCTGCTTAGGGCAGCACTTCCCAGGCGGATGCTCCCTAGGAAATGTTTTGTTAGCCCCAAACTGCCCCAAGTGCTGTTTTGACCAGCCTTTTCCCCTGGATTATTGCAGGGCTGTTTCACGTTTCCTTCCTAAGCAATAAAAATTACTTATGTTTCAAAATTCAATTTGAACCATCTGAAGAAAATTTTTTAATATTCTGTAACATCCTCTGCCTTTATTATTGAAAGCAGTGAGTCTTGGGATCCTGTCTGAACCAGCTCCTTCATGCCCAGACACTGCACCTCATCCTTAGATAAGCACATTGAAGACAAGCGAGAGTTAATTCTTTATAGCAAAATTCGCTTGCTGTGTGATGGCAAACACGGACACCTAGTGGTACTGGGGGACAGGGCATGGAAATGCTCTAAATAGCTCTGTGGGTGATAAGTTGATATAGCAGAGTATTTGTTCACATTTTCCCCTAAAAGAAGGAGAGACTTGATTATTTTCAGAGAAGATATGATAGATGGCATAATTTGGGGGACAGAAAATTTACCTAGCAAGAAATAGTGAAAGAGTTAAGGGGAAATTCATCACATTTGGTGAAATTTGTCTGTGTATTTAGCAAGAAGTAATCAGTTTTTTTCTTGTGTCTTAAATATCCCACGCCATACAAAATCAGATATCATATTGGATCAAGAAGATTTCATACTCCCCAAATTAGTCCATAGCAAAGAAACCTCAGCAAATGTCACAGCAATATCTTATTCTTACCATACCTGTGAATGTCTGTACTCCAGTTATGTGGAGATTATGTCAGTGTGACAAGAGGTTGGTTTGCTGATAAACTGCCCAAATAGGTGCTAAAATGATCTCTTGTGTGCTTTCATCAACCCACTGAGCTCTTTCTGTCGGGATTAATGCCAGCAGTTTGTTTGAATGGCCTCAAACAGCTGCCGTGGTTTGTTTTGGTTTGTTTTTTTTCTATTTATTTACAAATAATCTTTCAGAGAAATATTTCCTTCTTCTTCCCCAAATCTAGCATTTCGTCTACGGCAGAGACACAGGACAGGTGAGAACCAGTCCTTGTCCACTGACCCCTTTCTGTAACTGTGAATATCACCCCTGTGAATCATCACAACTGTGAATCCCACTGTGAGTGGGATTTCTCTCACATCTGCATTGGACACACAAACCCCTATCCCACTGAGTGGGGAGACAGGCTGTTCCCATGGGAGTGTGTATTCAGGGCTGCTTGGGCTAAGATAAGGGATTTTGAATACCAGCTGAAGAATAAAGTTTGTAGAGATGAATGTGATCTCCTCAAGGGTTCCCCCATTCAAGCTGATAAGCAGACCCCAGTTTTCACTGATTTTGCATCTTACAAGATTTATTCTAATTCAGTTGGATTGACAAGTTGTTCCTTTAAAAATATTGCATGTTATCCTTTGTTTTAGCTTCATATCCTAAGAAAATTAGGTTTATGGTATTATTCTGTTTTAAATCAGCTTGTTTACTATTCTCATCTTAATAACTTTTGGATCAGTGAACTAATTTCCATCAAAATTTCTACCAAGTGTGACACTGGAATAAGGACCTCAAAGATCTATGGATACTTCAGGGCAGTAGGCAGCATGTAGGACAAAGAAGGAGGGCCCCTAACGACGGGCAGACAGCAAGAAATCCACATTGCAGAGGAGCATTACAAAAGATTCCTCATGCCAGAAAACTTAGATTTGTTCTCACACCTTTTTAGACACGCGAGAATCCAACTCTGAGATCCAAATCTGTAAAAAGCCCAAACTTTGTTAAAAACAAGCTTGTGCAATCCCTTCTTCTGTTTTGCTCTGCTGTATGCACAAGTGCTTATATATCCAGTCTCTGGTTATAGAGAGACTGTGATTACACAGAGACCAGAATTGTTCGTCCAGAGTCACAGGGTGTGAGGCTGAAGGAAAGCAGCAGGTTGCCAGTGCTCAGTACGGAAGTAAGATGATACATTTATTCTTAGGTACAAATCCTGGAAGTCAGCATATAATCAATCACTCTGTGTTTATATATTTACACCTCTGGGTTCCATCAGAAAGCATGGGAGGAGCTTTTCTGATCTGCCCCCTCAGGATTTCCTAGTCTCCCAAGAGGTCCCTAGAGCAAGACAGGGGAGATGAGGGTATGTTTCTTGTCTTGCAAGAAAAGAGAAGCTGTTTCCTCACTGCACTGGTGGCGTGTGGGAATGTGTCTAGGTCAAGCTGTAGAGGGGCAAGCTGGAATTTGTCCTGCCCTGAGGCACAGCACTGAGGCAGCCTGGGCTATTGCCCTTCTAGAAAGTCACCCCAGAAACTAAAGCAACACAAAAAAACCCAGGGTTTCTGATGGACACTCACAGCTAGAAAATTCATAGCTCGAAAATTCCCCCACAGCTAGCATTCAGAAGGTTAGTGGGTGGGTAGCTTTGGTGTCTCACTTCAGCCCAGGAAAATCAATAAGAAGTAAAGGAAACCAGGGCCACAACATGTTGAACTTTGACAAAAGAAATTATTAACTTGGCTTCTAAGGAATACAAGTCCTGTCTTTGCCAGTGTAAATATGATGCAAAGATGATTGCTTTCATCCTACCTCCTCTAACGTCTATTCCTTTTCTTTTTTTTTTTTTTTTTTCTGTTGACCCTGGGCAGTTGTCTGGAGGGTGTGAACTAACTGTGGTGCTCCAGGACTTCACAGCAGGCCACAGCAGCGAGCTGAGCATTCAGGTGGGGCAGACAGTGGAGCTGCTGGAGAGGCCGAGTGAAAGGCCAGGCTGGTGTTTGGTCCGGACCACAGAGCGGAGCCCACCTCAGGAGGGTCTGGTCCCCAGCAGCGCTCTCTGCATTTCCCATTCCCGCAGCAGTGTGGAGATGGATTGTTTCTTCCCTTCAGGAAAAGGTAGGCAACAGTCTGACAGGTTTGAGACTGTTTTGGATTTTCCCTTTTGTATCATGTAAGTGCAAAGCTGTTTGGGCTGCTCCTGCAGTTGGCATGGGTAAAAGGCTGTTCAGTCATTGGTGAGTTTTGTTCCCAGGTCTCTGTGAATGGCCACAGCACAAGCCTGACTCCATGTCCATGAATCAATGTTTGTACGTGTGCGTCTTCTGCTATGTGGTAGTCATTATTGTCTTGAGAATATGGATAAAAATAAGACCTTTAAACAACAAAGGGACTGTTTCAGTGCCTAATGGCCTACTGGGAGGGGAAGTCATGCTGTATATATACCCAGGATGCCCCAAATTGTGGATATGTGATTTTATGAGTGCCACAGTGCACACCAGTTCATGTTCTTTTAGTATAACCCTACTGCCTGTCTGTAACTGCAAAGAGGCCACCAGTGAGTACTGGTACACACTACTGCCTTTTGAACTGGAGACATTGTGTGTAATGGCACAGTAAAATGGGGAAAGAATACAATTAGTGTGGAACAAAACACATCCCTGGTATTGTCCTGAGAGCTTGGGCTTCACGTGCAATGAATGGTGAAACACTGTCTCTGTGATGTCTGTGGCCTCTTTAGTCGACGTTCTGTTCTGAGCAATGTGTGTCCCACGTATAGCATCCATGCAGCCAGGCTTAGGAGACGCTCCAGACTGATAGACCAGAACTGGTTCAGCTCAGTGTGGCCAGAGCAGGTCTCCTTTTGGCTGTGACCCCACTTCTGGCCATGCGCAACGCAAGGAAGGTCCAGATAGGAAAGGCTCGTATCATCCCAACTTGAAGCCTCCAACCTGAACTGGCTTTTTAAATTTTTTTTCCCCATCTGCATTAAGAGAAATAGAATTTGAATCATTGTTGCTTGAGCAAGTTAAGCTTGGTGGTTTTGTTTGTTTGGAGAAAAAGCACTGAAGCTGAGCTGTAGTCTGTCCTCGTTCCCTGCCTGCCCTCCCACTGCGGAGGCTGGGAGTGGGACACATGCCCAGGACAGAGCAGCACTGTAGGACCAGGGTCTGCTATCAGACTTTCCCTTAAAGAGGCATCTGAGCCAAATCCGGGGGAGGAGAGCTCAGCTCCTTCTCTCAGATTCGATGCCCTCAGCTGTCAGCTCTGTTTGTGGTGTGAACTGCAAACTCCTCACGCACCTCTTAGACCCACTGCCACCTCTCTTGCTTGTCACATGCCCAGGGTCCTGCCCTGCTGCTGCTGCCACAAGAGCCTGTCCTGGTCTGCAGCTCTCCACTGAGAAGTGCTACAGTTGCTTACATGCAAATTAAATCTGGGAATAAATGGAAAGGTAAAACTGAGAGTCAGCCTGGCCTGTGTAAGAGCAGTCACTGCCTGGCATGACTCACAGGAGGCCAGGGACATGTCTGCTGGGTGCGTGGTCCAGCAGTCAGGCTTGTGGCCTCTGCTGAAGGACACTTCACTGGGTGACACCACTCAAACTTCATATTATGTCCACCAGGTTGTAGAGCTTTTGCTTAAATGAAATATATCTAAAAATTGTGAGAGTAGGCTGTGGAAAGGGAGGCAGGAAATCCTGAGGATGGAGACAGGGTGGTGCAGGGGCTGGAGGCTGGCAGGGGACATGGGAACTCTGCTTTTGCCATGATTGCATGAGCTCCAGGGCACAATTGCACCACAGGTATGGCAGGATGGGCACAGTGCTGGGCTGCGGCTGGAGGTCCAGATCTGACTTCCAGATGCCTGGAAGCCACCACGCTGTGTCAGCAGAGCACTGAACCTTTGCTAGCACGTTTTGCCTGCCTGTGGGCAGGTTCTCTCACCTGACATGCTGCCACAGCTTCCAGGTTGGAGCTCGCTCTTGGCCCTGCATCTCTAAACAGCTGCCAAGTGAGTCTGGGGACAGCTGGCTCCAGCCGTGTATTCATGGCCTTTATTTCCTTATACCTCTTTCCCCCTTGGCCTCAGTTTTCTTCCTGCACATACCAAAGCTGTATCAGGGAGCCTCAGTATTAATGGGATCTCCAGAAGTGCAGCTAGAAATAATAAAAATAACCACCCTATCCACTATTTTGGCTAGAGTACAGCAAATAGGCTGTGTCTAATCAGTTCTCCCTCTATTAGGAAAACAGGAAGTTGTTTAAACTGAATGAACAGATGCTGGGAATAAAGAAAGAGGGGTAAGTTTAAAGGGGGAAATGCAGTAGCTGCTGAAAGAGCCTGCTGGTCTTATGAGATGCTGGAAAGATTAGCATGATAAAGGGCTTCTGACTATTCAGGGTTATGCCCTTCTCTGCTTCCAGGAGCTTTAGGCACAAGTTGGATATAGAATTCCTTGATCCAGGCTTCCAAAATTTCTGGCCTTTCTCAACAACCCAGAACAAAGGCTGGCACATCTTACATCAACATTAATGGTGTTCCCAGTCTGCTTCAATTATGTAAACATACACAGTGGCAGGAAAACAGGTTAACAGCTGAATTTTGCTTGCAATTACCAAGACACATAATTCTTTGCTTTTACAAGCACTGTAATTTCAAGAACAGAAAGTACCTACACTCAAAACTTAACATTTCTAATAATAGAATTTGCCATCTATTTTAGAAACATGCAGAGTTTTGCCAAGTATCAAAACATAGTTACATCTGCATAGAGGGAAATGGCAAATTACTCTGTTTTGTCCTATTATGAGTTATTGTGGAGTGTAAATGTAAATTGTGGCTTAGAGAAGCTACCTACTATCCTTAACGTGCAAGAGTAAGGAAAGTAATATGTCAGCCAACATCTGAACGTATAGAGACTTAACAGATTCGGTGGGATCACCAGGACATTTTGTAAAGCATCAGTGCAAGTCCTCATCAAGCTTTTTTAAACAGTCTAACCAAAAGCCACTGGAAATGCAAAACCAAAGTTCACAACTGAACATGTGCTCTGGGTCTTCCTCACTCTTTTACACCTCCTTTGAAAATAGGTGGTGAATTAACATAAAATAGTGCAAAAGGAAAAATGTGGTGTCAACAGAACAGAACAAACCTAGAAGAGAACACTTACTACCTTTTGTAATGAAATATCTGTACAGATCTCTCTTATTGATCAGTAAAAGTACAGAGACTGTAAGGACTGGCCTGCCAGCCTTCTGTCTGACTCCTGACTGTGTTCCTTTGGAGGATACACACAAGTATCCTCCTGCCTGTCCTTCCTTTCCGATGATCTGACAGTGTTTGCAATTACCCTCTATAGAAAGGCAAACAGATTTCTGGAATTAACCTTTTGCAAGTGATTTACAGATGATTGAGTAAAAGGAACTCTGCAGTCTCTGTTACTGTACTCCAGAATCTGCAGGATGTTTTTTTTTCTGACTAGCATCCCTAGGAAGGAAAAAGAAAGATCTGTGATACCAGCAATGAAGCTCTGTTTGAACTATCCCACATGACTAATTACAGGAAAGCTGTGACTTTTATTTCTTTTATTTCTCTTTTACCCTATAATTGAGGTCTAAAGTATTAAGCTATACATTTCAAATTAAGAGAGCAATCCACTTGGATAGAAAGCAGCATCATGATCTAGCCAATATTCATTAAGCATGTTGCCACAAGCATATTCCTGGTGTCAAACTGTTAACTTTGAGTGATTCCAAATTTGAATTTGGCCCATGAAACTAATAGATGAAATCTTGATCATAAAAGTTTTTGTCTTATGACCCCTTACATAGCATTTTTCTTCTAAGATCAAATACACAGAATATTTCAAAGAAAAATAAAGGTTAGTTCTTGCAGTAATTTTAAGCAACCTCCATCACAAAAAGAAAGCCTTAAAAAAAAGGTAGAGTTTCATGGCACTTGTTTTGGATTGATGATATGTGAAAGGAGGGTCCCATTCAGGGCCTCAGACCAGATCCTGCCCACAGGATGCTTGTGTCTGGTGCATATCTCTGGAGGAGATAAGGAATATATTTTTTTAAGATGCTATGCAAACATCTTGCTGTGCAGGCAGACGGCCACCTAACAGCAGGGCTTTGGTGGCAGTGGTGGGTCCTTGTAACAGAGCAAACAGAAAAATAGTTGGATCTCTTTCAGCTAAAGAGGGAACACAGATCTTGCAGGGCATATGTTAGCAGGGTGAGCATCTTGCCTGCACTTCCCACATGAGTCACTTTGGCCTGATCCGTCAGCTGGGAGAGCACCAGACTTTGGGCAGGAGGAGCAGGAGTTTCGGTGCTGTGCAGGTCACAGCTTATGCATTTGGAGGGTCTCCTACCCAATCCTACAGCCAGAGAGAGCCTGTGGCTGGGAGGTGCAATGGCAGGCTGGGCTGTGGCAGAAGGAAGCAGAATAAGGATTTAACCTAGTGAGAAGGGTGGTATCAATGAAAAAGAGATCACACTGAGACTTGAAGTTTTGTAACTTCTCCTCGTGGGAAAGACCAGATCGTTTAATGCTTTAGTGTGCAAAGCTGGTCAGGGTAATCCGGCTCGAGTTGCATTTAAAGTCTCTTTCCTTCAGTTACTGATCTCAGAAGAAGCATCTGTGTAGGGAAAAGCATTATTGTTTCTTCCCACGTCTCTTTTTAAGAACATCTTGGATTTTAGTGCGGGAAAAGAGTCTAGGTTGCTTTTATTGTATCCCTGTTCCTGTTGAGTATTAAATTGCGATCTGCTTTGGCTCACGCATTTTCTCTGTTGTGTTTTAAACAATCTCTGTTGCAAACATATTCCATGGTAATGATTCCTGATGTCCCAGGGGAGCTGTGTGAGGACGATTCAAAAGTTTTAGTGTACTGCATTAAACCTTCATTTGTCCTTGTAGAGGCCGAGAAATTGTTTTTGTTTTTGAAAGTCTTAATGAAGAGCAGTCGATTAAAATGTTTGCAAGGCTCTGAACTAAAGGAAATATTTCATTAGGTAACACAGTTGATATAACTGTTACATAAACAGGTCGTGGGGTTTCTATTAAACAATGTTCAGGCTCCCATTGTCAATATAAATATGCAATATTTA